GCCTTTGGCTTTATTGGGATTTTGGACATTTTCGGGTTTGAGAATTTCGAGGTGAATCGATACGAGCAGTTCAACATCAACTTTGCCAACGAGAAACTTCAGGAGTACTTCAACAAACACATATTCTCTCTCGAGCAGCACGAATACAGCAAGTGGGTCCTCACCATACCGTTTACACATACAGTAATATCGTAACCGTCTCGGCTCTGTATGATGAACAAATGATGAGAATTGAGAATTCGTGTTGGGTTTTTCATTGTCCGTGTGGTTCTTTCAATAATGTGGCTTTAGAACTGAACGCATACTTTCTTTAGTACACAATTTCCCCTTAGTTTTTTCATTCATTGATAGATGATCTAATATGGTAGAGAGGGTACAGAATAGTGATGTTTCCACCCTGCCAACAGGGAAGGTATTGACTGGGCTGACATTGAGTGGGTGGATAACGCAGAGTGCCTGGACCTCATCGAGAGAGTGAGTCTTCCATCTTTCTCCCGCTCTCCGCTTCTCTCTTGTCTTCTGTCCCATTGTTTTCCTCAAATGTACATACTTCTCTGTGTAACCCTCTCCTCCCCTACCCATCTTTCCTCTTCCCTTTTCTCTCCCTCTCTCCCCTCTTACCTCTCCCTCTCTCCCTCTCCCCTCTTCCCCTCTTACCTCTCCCTCTGTCTCAGAAACTGGGTGTCCTTGATCTAATGGACGAGGAGAGCAGATTCCCAAAAGGAACAGACAAAAGTTTGCTCGAAAAACTTCACGGAAACCACAAGGTTCACTACATACGTACATCTCCATAGACTGGCTCTACTTTATACGACACACCAGAGCATTAATATTTGTGCTTATAATATAATACTATAACTTGATCATTCCGTGCTTATATGTAGTATATTATAGCAAACCTATACTTGATGATCAGTTTGCCTAGTTGTCATAATGCTTTCTGTGTTTATAGGCCGTAGGAAAGAAAAGTGGTAACCTATAATTGGAGGTTTCAAACGAAAGGAACTCCCATTTTCTTATATAGCTACGTACAGAGGTGGTTGTTCTACTTGCTATTGCACATTGACGTGTTCTTGGTGTAATTGGCAATGTTTCCTCTGTCACTCTAGGACAATCCGTACTACGTGAAACCTAAAGTAAACAATGCAAAGTTTGGCATCAGGCACTACGCAGGGGAGGTGTTTTACGATATCAACGGCCTTCTCGAAAAGAACAGAGACACTTTTAGAGACGACATCCTCAAGGTTTTGAAGGACAGCAGGCGAGTTTAGCTTTAATCATCTCCTCATTATATCTATAAGCCTCTCGTAATCGTACTTTTTTTTTAACTTCTTCTCGTTATCTCTCACACTTTGCTTTCTCTCTGTCTTGTTTTTTCCCCCTTTTTTTTCTTTCTTTTCTCCTCTCTCCCCCTCTCTCCCTAATCTAAGGCGATGATGATTTTATTGTTGCAACATGTCGTATGCAGAATATATATGCCATGCATATTCTCTGCACGGCCTATCGTATCTCGTAGAACAAAGTTTCATTGTGTATCGTGGCATTACGATGAAGTCTCTCCCTCTCTCTCCTCCACTCATGCAGGTCAGATTTTGTGTACGATCTGTTTGAGCACCTGACCCCCGGGGAGGCGAGTGGTGGAGGAGGGAAGGCCGGGAAAGGCATGGGGAGACAACACACCGTCATCAAGAGAGGTGGCCGCTCCTCCAGGAAGAGAGCAACCGTCAGCTCACAGTTCAAGGTACAGTGAAACATCTGAACAAGGGACACCTTCGGGACAATGATAGTGTCCTTTATTCGGAGGTTAGTATAAACTAATGTATTAGTACCAAATGTTCCTTATAGGGAGGTGTCCTTTATTTGGAGGGTCTCTTTGTAGGGTTTCGCTGATGAAGGAAAGCTTTGTAGTTCTTACTGCTTGATTACATTGACCAACCCCACTATTGTAGTATAATCTTCCCTCTCTTAATTTTCTGCAGATTTGTACGTAGTAGACATGTGTTCGTTGGTTGGTGTATACTAAATCCAACTTTGTTTCTGTCCTTTCTCCCCCTCTCGGCTCTCTGTCTCTCCTCCTCTTTCGTTCACCTCTCCCCTTTCTCACCCACCCCCTCCTCCTCTCCATCTCGGCTCTCTGTCTCTCTTCTCTCCTTCACACTCACCCCCTCCTCCTCTCCCTCTCGGCTCTCTGTCTCTCCTCTCCCCTTTCTCACCCACCCCCTCCCCTCTCCTCACAGGAATCGCTCCATTCCCTGATGAGCACGCTGGGTCAGGCCAATCCTTACTTCATCCGCTGCATCAAGCCCAACCCTGACAAGGCCCCCAACTGCTTCGTGCCCGATATGGTCCTCAACCAACTCAAATACTCTGGTAAAACCATCCCTAATACTTTGGCTATGTGGGAATATACCCACACCTTGTTCCACCTCATTTGTAAGGGATCGAAAGGTTTTGCGTTTTTTTAAGGCACGTGAATGAACAAAATAACGAATCTACCATCCCTATTATTTTCACTATAGTCAAAGTGTGGAATAGTATTACTATCTTGCTGCACCTTTCCCTATCTCGTTTTTACTGTGTATGAGTCCCCCCCCCCCATCTTTCCCCCACAGACTACCAATAGGAGGTTTGAACAGTTTGCATTTTTTGCGGGAACGTGAATGAACGAAATTATGAACGAGCAATCCCTAATGCTTTGACTATAGTTAAAGTGTAGAATTAAACTCTCACTTCTCACTGCACCATGTTCTGTTCCCTTACCCTTCCCCCACCACCTTTCAATAAGGGTTTTAACGGTTTTGCATTTTTTGCGGGAACGTGAATGAACCAAATTACGAACCAACCATCCCTAATAATTTCAGTCAAGTTAAAGTGTGGAATTACACTCTCTCATTTCTCACTGCACCTTTACCTATCATGTGTTCCCCTACCCTTCCCCCACCACCTTCCAATAAGGGTTTTAACGGTTTTGCATTTTTTGCAGGCATGTGAATGAACGAAATTATGAACCAACTGTCCCTAAAACTTTTACTATAGTTAAAGTGTGGAATGAGACTCTACCTGTTTTTCTGTCCATAGGAATGATGGAGACTGTGAGGATCCGCCGGTCAGGGTACCCTGTTCGTCGAGAGTTCAAAGATTTTCTGTTTCGCTACGGAGTCCTCGGGAGGGAGGTGGGGAGAGGGCTGGACGACCGGGAGACCTGTGTGGGCATCCTCATGCAATACGACGCCACCAATAAGGACTGGCAGCTGGGAAAGACAAAGGCAAGTTGTCACAACTACGATTTCGTCACAAAAAATAAGAGCTGTCCTGGGTGTAGTTGACTTGTTTGCTTTGCCTTTGCCGTTCTACCTCATAGTTGACACGTGCATTCACATGTGAAACATGTTTACTAATTCTCGTAGTAACTGTACATATATCTCGAACAACCCAGCATGCTTAAAAACGGAAGTGGGCATCAATTGGAGTACATACTAGTGTATATATAGCTTCCCGTTGAACTCACTCGTGTTAGAAGCTCTCGGGCTTCTGATGTGTGTAAATTTCACACACTCACTGTCTAACTATTGTTAATCAAAACTGGTCCAACTTTGCAGTGGTTATTATATAGGGCACTACAATACATTATGTGTTGTGTTGTTGTGCAGGTGTTCTATAGGGAGAACTTGGAGAGAGTGATAGAGAGAACGAGAGACATTCAACTGAGGGCTGTGTGTCGCGTTATCTACGGTGTGGTGTGCACTGTCATTGCCAGGTTTGAATATTCAGTTGTACATACATACACCATTTACATAGCTACTGTATCCACTGATGTACACATCTATGTATGCCTCATTTAAAGCAGAATGTCAAAAGGTGTGCGCCTTATATAGTAGTTTGAGCACGTAAACATATTTGTGTGTGTTTTGGGGAGGTGCTGTTAAGAAGTGTTTTGTTGCTTCAGACGAAGATTTTTGAAGACCAAAGCAAAGATCGTCATTGTACAAAAGATGGTCAAGGTACGAAGGGCTATCTCAAAGTATTACATGTACCGAGCTGTTTCAAATGAGTATTTCATTCTGATATTTGCAGAGGTTTTTGTGTGTACGAAGGTTCATCAGAACACGAAAAGCGGTCGTCTGCATGCAGAGGGTAAGTCAAACCAACACAGATATTTTAACACGAACTGTTCGATCAAACATGTTTTATTGTACGTTGTAGTTTGAACGAGGTCGTCAGGCGAGGAAACTGTATGCCCGGCTACTGGAACAGAAGAGAATCGAGGAACAACGCAGGAGAGAGGAAGAGAGACGACGGTACGATACTTCTGTTAAAGGTTTTTTATGTTAACCTTCAACAATCGAGTTCCAATGGGAGAGAAAAGCATCCGTATTAGTGCCGTGAGGTGTCCTTATTTCAGGGGTTTCGTTGCGTACAGGAATCTGTTGTTGGGGAAGGAATGAAAGGAGGTCGAACGAAGGAGGTGTGTCCTCATTTAAGGGGTATCGCTAGAGAGATCTTTCAGGGGAATCAGGAGTTTCATTGCAGACTGTGGCCTGGCTACATACATGTGTATAATTATGCTGTGACAGTGGTAGCAAGTGCTGTGTGTGTTAATGGTGGCCATCATGCCATGTACAGGGAGGAGGAGAGACAGAGGGAGTTGGAGAGACAGCAGAGAGAACTGGAGAGGCTGGAGATGGAGAAGAGAGAGCAAGAGGCTGCCGAGATGAGGAAAAAGGTCTGTCAGTCAACCATTTGTACTTAAAAAACTGCTCATCTACACAAACTTAGACCTCTGAAGTATGAAAAGCATGTACGTACCTCCTAAACTGCCCCAATCTGTGAAAATTTGAAGTACCTCTCAAATTTCCAATCTACAAAATTTTACCCTTACCCTGTGGAACATTTGCCCACTACACAGCCGTGTAAAGGTGTGTATATCTAAATGTATGCACTGTGTGTGTGTGTGCAGTTGGAGGATGAGGAGGCAAGAAGACAGGAAAAAGAAGAGGCCAGATTGAGGGCGGAGGAAGAGGAAAGGCTTGCAACCCTCGCCAAGATACGAGAACTGGTCAGCACCAAGTGATATCAACATTTAGTGTCTTTTGTATGAGGTCCTTTATGCCTGTACGGTGGAAATTCTCTCTAAGGATGTCCCTGAAATGAGGACACCTTTTCTTTCCCCGGTAGCGGAAGTATTGGACACATTGGGACAAGACAGTTTGTCCTTTATAGGGAGGTTGTCTCACTCTTTTGAGGCTCAAAATGCACTAGAATAATAGAAAAGTGAACTTTAGGAACCTCAAAGGGTGTCCTTTATTGAGAGGTTTTTTTCTATTGCGTCCTTTATTCGGAATTTCCTTTATCGGAGGTTCTACTGTAGAAATCATAACTTTGCACCTCCTGGTGTCATTGGGTGATCCCAGGAAGAGGAGCACCAGAGACTGGAGGAGGGGAGGAGACGCAGGGCTGAGGCCGCGGCAGCCGCCCAGCGCGCCGAGGAGGAGGCCAGACTGAAAGAGAAGGAGACGGCCAAGATGCAGGGAGAAGTCGAAGAGGCCTACGAGATGCTCGGGAGTCTTGACAACGCCCTGAAGGCTTTCACTGGACGATTCGGCCTTGAGGAGGTACGTACGTATGTTTGGATGTCAGTTGCCAAGTGTTTGCAAGTTTGTGTTTTGCACACAATTTGCCTGAAAACTGCACTCTTACTTGTAATTGAGGGAATAAAATTTGTCCAAATTGTGCGATTTTCCCTGTAGTATATAGCTCTGATTGTAAAAAAGCATAAATTTCGTCGTGAAAGTACAGTTTATTGGCTATGTACACACCACATATCTACATACAAGACAAAATGTTAACTTTTTTAACAGTACAGAGTAAGTATTAGCATGGGGTTGAAACAAGTGTCCTTTGTAGATAGGTTGTCCCTATCTCGGAGGGTCCCTTATCGGAGGTTCCACTGTAGAGTTGATGACTACATTTTAAAAATTGCTAATTGTCTGGTGCTGATTGTAGGGAGAGCAGGGTGAAATGGAGAGTGACACTGAGGAAGACGACTTGGAGAGTGGGTTTGAAGAGATGAAGTCGGGCGAAGACGAGTCGGAGGAAAGCCAGGATCCTCACTCCAGCAAGTTCCGGGCCACCGGACAGCTCCTACTGCAGTATGAGGAGGAGCCCAGTTTCGAGGGTTACCTCATGTTCAAGGGAGGGAAGAGACAGGTTAGTGTGGGGAGAGAGAGGGAGAGGGAAAGAGGAGGAGAGGGGGAGAGGGAGAGGGGGGAGAGGGGGAAAATAAGGCTGAGCAGTTCACTTTGTAAGGGTTTGCACTTCAGTGTGTTCGTTTACTAAACACAACTGCCACAAATTTTTTGGCGAGTGTGAACAGTTCAACAGTTCAGTTCGTAGAACATTACGGTATGTGCAGTGCCCGCACAGTGCCAATCACATACAAATATAGAATAAACAAGAGCGACTCAGTAGGCTCGCTTTGCTTGCCAACAACCAGGCATGCACATGCTGCTTGTTCTGCTGCAGCTCGTTACACATCTCCAACCATTCCTCTGCCAATTCTTATAAGCACATTGCCTATCTTGTGTTGGCACCCCTGTGATTCCTACTAGGGCTGGACGAGACGCTGGGCCATCATCAAGGACGACGCCCTCATGTTCTTTGAGATGAAGCAAGACGCCATAAAGCAGGGCTGGCTGCTCAAGAAGAGCAGTGGGACTGGTACCCTCGGGCGGCGCAACTGGAAGAGACGTTACTTTGCTCTGCGAGGAAAGACGATTTACTACTATTCTGAGAGTGACCTGTCGCAGGCGAAGCCTCAGGGAGCCATCGACCTCAAGGACGTCACGTAAGAATTGTCTCCCTTTGCTGGCTCCCAATATTTTGTCCTGTGATTAAAGTCAGTAGGAGCGCACATTGAAGAGTGCCGTGGGTTTTAATCTCATCCAGGGCACCTCTGTTTTCCTTTGAAAAAAGAGTTGTCCTGGGTGTAGTTGCTTTAGCATTTCCCTCACTTGTACAAAGCTAAACCCATGCATTCGCGGCCTACCAAGCTTTTCCCATGTGTAGCAGTTTTGCTCTTTTTTTTGCCTGCTTCTTTGGCTAGTGTGCCTAATCGAGTACTTACTAGAAACGTTATGCGCATCATATACAGTGCTACATACACGATTAATGTGTATTTTTCCTTGTCAGTGGTATAATAGAGGAGGGAGGAACGAGGGAGCATGCATTTGGACTGGTCACAGCCGAAAGAACCTTCCACCTCACTGCCGAGACCGCCATGGACAAGAAGTACGTACATACGTAACAGCACTAAAACGGACACACATGGTAGCTACCATAAGTTATGTTATCAAGGTTGCATACAAGTGCTCTATAGAAATGCTTACGTTCCCTAACTTTCTTGTGTGAATGTATAGGGGTAGGATGGGGAGTGTTTTGTTCAAGGTACATACATACATACATACATACATACATACATACGTACGTACGTACATACGTACATATACATACATACATACATACGTACGTACGTACATATACATACATACATACATACATACATACATACGTACGTACGTACATATACATACATACATACATACATACATACGTACGTACGTACATATACATACATACATACATTCATGCCAGTGACTGTTGTCGATATATACTCAATGGGTGATTTACCACATTTACCATTAACAAAGCCAACCCACCTAGTCGTCTGAATTGAAGTTTTTCGTTCTAGTTTTGCACATTGCCCCTCCCTCTTCGTTCCCCAGGGAGTGGGTGGAGGTGATACGACGCGTGCGGACAATGCCGGAGCAGAAGGTGAAGAGTATGTTGGCACAGGAGGTGGATCCACGCAAGGCTCTCCTGACCCTGGACCTGGAGCTAATAGAGTCCGTCACTGCCACCGACCAGGAAAAGAGGTACTGTATAATTATACATAAACTACGTTAAAAACTTTCATATCCTTTTAACCTTTTCGTGCATATTTCATTGGCAGAAAAACTATAGTACTGTACTATAGCTATAGAGCCGATAGACAGCGAGGAAGTGATCGTGAAAACTTAGTCTACAAAGAGTATATAAAATATAGGCAAAGGGAGAATTAGTGTATAATTATGTGAGAAGTGTTTCCTGCTGGTGTAGCTAATGTCATACTTTACTTGCATGCTGGTCTCCTCTCTATGTGTTTCCATGGTGTTATGGCTACATAAAACACCAGCATGCTGTGAGCAAGTTGTACATAGGTAACATGTGCACTCCCAATACAAATTGATATTATGTACGTGCGATCAATTCACTTTAAAAGCCGTCTGTGTCATGTATCTCTGCAGACCAAATGCATTTGCAGTGATCACACCAAGTAGAGTGTTTAACCTGATCTCTGAAAGTTCAGCAGAAATGCACATGTGGATTGGAGGTAGTGTATCATATAGTATACCCATATATATGTACGCAAACACCACATCCACGATAAGCTCCCAGGATAAACTAACTCGCTCTCTTGTTTACTACTTGAGAAAGCTCTGACTACTAAGTTAGTTAATCTGGCCCATTCGAAATCCTCAGGCTCTTTACATGTACACAGCATCATTGCTAGGTGGTATAGCAAATCTCTCTAAGAAATTTCACAGAATTTCTGAATGCTTTTCAAAAACGTTTTTTTTCTCTCTCCCTCTAGCTCTCTCTCCACGAAAGTTTACTCTTGGGAAGACGATCTTCTACAGAATGCTAGAGCCAAAGGTTTGTGTATTTACATACATAGTATTACCAGACGTTCGACTAGAAGTGATATCGGGTGTATAAACAGTGGGTCCCTTTCGATAGACAAAAGACAGTTTTAATCCCAAAACTATCCATATAATGAACATGAAAATCCCAAATTGGGCATAATGCAGGACAACCTGTGTCATCCCTATATACTAAGTACTACTGTACTTAGTGATATATATACTACAATGGTCCCTATGTTGCACCACCAGGGCTGCCCAATCGATGCTCCCTGTGTGTACTTGTCTTGCAGGCTGGCTGATAAAGGAAGGGAAGATGCGGAGGAAGCGGTACTTTGTCCTGACAGACAACAACCAGCTTCGCTACTACCGCACAGAGGACACCAGACAACCAGTCTCTGGAAACATACACCTCAACAGGTCTCCTACTTGCTGTAGTGCTACGTTTAAACCCCTTTCTAAGAACACCGATCTCAGATAGTATTTTTTTATTTATACGTTTTTTTCTCACACTGTTTGTCGGCACAAATCTGTGTCTTTTGTGTTGAGAGTTTCTTGATCTTTTTCCCCCTAGTCTGTGTGCTGTTGATGTCAACTGATGAAACTGAAACAGCAGAAGGTAAACAATGACATCTCATACATACGTATACTGTACCATAGCACTGCTTGAGGTGTTTTGCATTGTAGATTTGAGCCCCTATACCAGCATAGCTGCCATGGTAGCTCAGGTGGTAGAGCACTCTGCCTGGACTACAGAGTGTCGTGGGTTTGAATCACACCAAGGGGAGCTCCTTATTCCTTGGTAAAAGAAAGGAGAGTTGTCCGGGGTGTAACTGCTTTGCCTTTGCCTTGACCCTCGTTGTTGACACAGTGCATCTCGTTCCTGAAATCCAACTGCTAACTTGTCGTTCTGTGCACTCTCTTGTGTGTATATATGTAGCTCCACTAACCTTCAGTCTTCACGCCCGCAAGACCACTCTGAAACTGACGGCAAAGAATGGCGAAGAAGCAGACGAATGGATTTTGGCCCTTCAGGATGTAAGTCAGCCACAACTCCACTCTTCAAATATATCTGAGAAATATTTTGAAACTTTTTGCAGGCCATAGATTCCTGTCCTCCTATTCAAACTGTGACTGAAAGACTGGTACTAGAGATGATCAAGGTAACCAAATATTGAAAAAAGACTTGTTGCCTACGTATGTATTGTTATGATGGGACATTGCCTTGTGTATGTTGCAATTTAGAAACTCGTTGATTTTAAGCTCTGTGCGGTATTATGCCGACCAGAACCGATTTACGTATCACTTATTCTTTAGAAACTGGCGTATTGGCAGTTTGTTTTGTTGGTTGGAGATCCACTGGTCACCAAGTAGCTCATTATACATACAGACATACTAGCAAATTGGCTCATTGCTGGCTCTGTATGTACGTAGTATGTATGTATGTATGTATGTAGAATGGCCACCAACCTGACTGGGAGAGGATCTACAAGGTCCACAAGATACTGTGTAGGATCAACACCCCTATCAAGGCCCCTCTCCTAGCTCTGCCCTATGGAAAACCACCTCTTCCACGTAAGACTGAAATACCAGTTACCCCTCTCTAAACAACCTGTATTGTAGATGTACGTACCTAGTGGAACCACATTCATAGGAACACTCCTAAAGAAAACTTCTGCTTAATACCCCCTTCAGTTAGGTTATACTGTACGCTTCATACTGGGTGCTAGCATACTAAAGAAGTACAATTTTGCAAAACAGTAGGTAATGAAAAGCTTGTCCAAGGCCAAAATTACAGGTATCAAACTTTTCCTCATTAATCATTAAATGTTAGCAGCTTAGGTTGCTTTTGGACAACATACAAAATGTAAAATCTAATCTATAGTAATAACTGTGTTATAACTTTCTCTCTTACTACATCTTACTGACGTACGTACGTATGTACAGCTGACAAGGAGGCTCAGTATGGAACGAGACATGCGGAGGCAGTCAAGATCTTCAACAGTCTCCTGAGTCAGGACAGCCTGGCAGACCCCATCAAACAAGTCCAGGAGATCCTCCAGAAGTGTTTCGACATGGAGGACCTCCAGTCGGAGGTCTTCTGTCAGCTCATCAAGCAGACGGCCGGCGTGGCACAGGAAGAGGTCGACACTCCGGGGGTGCTCTCCATATGGCAGACTCTCAGCTCTATGGCGTCTACTTTCATCCCCGAGAGGGCTATCAGGAGATACCTCACCATGCACATCAAGAAGTACGTCGAAAAAGTTTGGTTTTCCTGTTGTTGTTTTTACGAGAGTGGGGCAAAAATAATATCTGCACGTAAGATACTCTTACACGATGGCTTCCACAGAAGAAAATGATTAAGGGACATCTTCATGTAGAAGGACAACAGGCCTTTACACTCATACGTGTGTCTACGTAACTGATTTTCTTTGCTTCAGAGTCATAGAGCTTCACCCAGACACAGAAATGGCCAAGTATGCCACCTTCTGTCAAACGTCGCTAAAGAGGACTAAGAGAAGGTATAATTATTATTACACTTTTATCCTTCCCCCTTACCGTTAGCCTTGGAAACTGTTAAAAATCATATCACTGTTGAGTTTGTAATGTTTTTTTCTTTCCACAGAGATTTCGCACCATCACGGAGTGAGGTGATAGCTTGCTTGGTAAGAATTACTCACACACACACACAGCTATCTGATAAATCAATGAGATCTCCATACAATCATTATAGGGTCGCAGGGACATGAATACGGTTGTCGTCTCTTATGGCAATGCCCAGTGTCAGATCAACATTAACTCTTCCACAACTTGCGGAGAGGTATACATTACATCATCACCACACTCACATTACCTCATCGCCAAAGTAGCATTTTTTGGTATGACAGTACCACCGAAAATACAATGTTGTCTAAAGACACCTATGTACATAGGAACTCGGTTACTAATGAAAACTAGAAAAAGGTCCCTCAGAATATAGGACATCTCCCTGTAAAGGACACTTTGTTTTACCCCATACCAAATGAAATTTGTGTATGTTAATACCACCCCAGAATCCTCTGAAAAAAAGCCGAGAAAATGTCCCTCATTCAGAGGTTCCACTGTCAATATAATATTAGGTTGTTAAGACGCTGACACTGGGTCTGAAAGTGAGCACTGAGAACAACAGATTCGCTCTGTTTGAGCAGTGCAGCCACCAGTCAAAGGTCATCGACGATCGCACCATTCTCGCTGACATACTCGGCAAATTTGAAGGGTGAGATACATACATACAGCCAGCATTTAGAGTTTCTATAATATGTGATTGCTTTGTTCTTCTTGTTCTTTATATTTTGCATAGATCCCTTCGTGATAAGATATCTGTGTCAAGTAACATACCTTTGTTTAACCCTTGGGGCGGATGCGCAGCGAGGGTTGTCTGTGTGTGTGTCTGTCATTCTGGTGCTATGAGTGATACCAACGGCTGCGCGAACAAATATTTCCTTAAACAACTGCATTCAAAAGATTTATACAGTGTGACATATTGATGCACCTGCAGGTACTACAAGGAGGATCTGAGTAGGATGAGACCAGGAGACCCAATGCCAGAGAAATGGAGGCTGTTCTTCAAGTTCTTTTGCTACTTGAAACCCCACAGCGTGCCCAGTGACAGCATCGAGTCTGTCTTCCTCTATGAGCAAGTGAGCCGTCATATTATTCATCCATTTGTGCTTCGGGCAAATCAACATTCTATTTTAAGCAAGTGGAATTTGGCTTAACACAGATATTTGGACTATATAACTATTTACCAGCCACACCCATGCAAACATTTTCGGAAATTTTTGCGTTTACTTGCCAACAATCAAAGTGTGTATCGATAGACTGTCCTTTATTATAGAGTCGAAAAATGACCACCAAACAGACGAATATATACCACTTTTGCAGATGTGTTAGTTAGTGTTATGTACGTCGAGGGATGTGTAAGATCAATTGTACCATGTGTGTTGTATATACAGTTCTGTAACGATGTGGTGGTGGGGATGTTCCCGGTGAGTCAGGAGAAACTACTCAAACTGGCTGCCCTCAGACTGCAGTATCTCGATGGGGACTGCACCCCCGGATCCACCATGTACTTTATGCACTTATTCTGGATCATACTAGAACCCCTCTCTAATGACGCCCTTGAAATAAAGACATCTCTGTAATAATAATTTCTGTTTTGCTTGCAATTTAACCCCTGAAACATTTTCCTTCCCCAACAACACGGCTTTGCATGCAACTTTAAACCCTGAAATATGAGGCCATTTCCTGCTTTAAGGTTGCATTGCGTGTGTTGCTATTTCTCTTCTTCTTCTTGCAGTCAAGATGTGACAGAGGTGTACCCTATATCACGTATAGAGCAGGAGGTTAGGGAACAGAAGGACATGTTCGGTTCTCTGGATCTTCACGAGACTTACTATAAGGTCTGTCGGCCGTACTATTAGTACTATTACTACTGCTTCACTATAATTATGAGGGTTCTAAGGGAGTATAAAGGCAGTAGGGCCCAGTGCAAGGATGCAATTAAGTTCTGCTTTAATGTAATTTGAAACTGGCTCATACCAGAATATATAGCTGCCTGCGTAAGCAGTATAATGTCAGATGTATAATTCTACCTAATTGCCGTTGGTATAGGACACACTCCGTCACAGTAAAGGGATTGGTACACTGACAAAGAAGACAAAAGCTCCTCAGATTACAGAAGAAGACAAGCTACGGGCTTCCATAGAGGTCAAGAAGAATGCAATCAAGGCCTCGGTGGCTGACCTATGGAGAAGACTGGAGGTTAGTTTACATTCATAGTTGACTGTGTTCCTGCATCAGATTGTACAGTGAACCCCTTTCAAAGGACACCCCTGCTATGAGGACACCTCTCTAGTAAGGACACCATTTCTTTCGTAGACAACAGTTATATCATGCAAAATAAGGACACCCCGCTAATATGGACACTTTTCTTCTGTCACACTGGTGTCCACATTAGTGAGTGTAACAGTCGACCATAATTGCTGTGATGTTCTAGGGGACAACTGCAAATCAAGTGCAGCAGAAGTACCTGGAGATCTTGTCAGAATGTGCTGCGTTTGGCTCCACGTTCTTTGAGGCTGAGTACACTAACCGAGACCAGAGATTCCCCAAGGAGCTCTGGCTAGTGGTGAACTGCAAGGGGGTCCAAATTTACCAGAGGGGGGCCGTGGCTCCCATACAGTCTTACTTGTATGAGAAGTGAGTAGAGGTTTTCGTGTCAATGAAAAGTGAATATTGGTCTGTCGTTCTTCGCAGTATTGTCAGCTTTGGAGCTCCGGTCTCCAATGAATATAAACTGATAGTTGAAGGACAGGCACCTATATCGATCCATACAAGTCAGGTAAGTTTTTCAAAGTTTTCATAATTATATCGCCATTATTATGTGTCGCTATCTCTCTGTAATATGTATCGTGTATTTGTAGGTGGCAGAGATTGCTAAACTGATGAAGGCCTACATTCAGGCCGTAGTTGCACATCAATACTAGCCTGCTCTCACCGTAAACTAGTAACAATTGTTAGCTGGCCTTTCATCAATTCACTCTTTTCAAAACTGCTGTGTATGTGTGTGTATTATGGTATTATCACGTGATGTATAGTAGGTATCAAGATGTTTTGGAGCTATCAAAGAGTTCAGGCCGTTACTCTGGTCCATTCTAATAACTTTTCTACTATGTCGGGAGGTACTTTCTCCCCTTCTCCCTCAAACAGAATGTACCCCCACTTGCTGAGCTTCGGAGACGAATTTTTCTTCAGTTCGGCTTCGAACGCTTCTGCTGTTTCCTGGCTTGCATCCTTGAGCATAAAGCAACACCACGTAACTCTTCCTTGTTCCTTCCTCGTGAAGCTTTTGATTGGGAAACTCCGGGCAACTCCGTCCATCCACTTCAGTTGCGTGAATGTGTTTTTGGGACACGGGGTGTCGGGACCACGACAGCACACCAACTTTGTCCCACTAAACCAGGCTGATTTCTGGTCTTCAAACGACGTCGCTTGCACCGTTGCTATTCCATCGTCCCAACTGATAGTGCATTCATGGAATACCCTGGCTCGACTGCCTTTTGCTGCGGTTGGCAAGATGCAAAAACTCGCAGAAGTACCCCACGCTCCCTAGCCCTGTGCCCACATGGAGGAATACCGAGCGAATCGAGAGTTTTGGTACAATCTAACACCCACTGCCCTGAATAGCAACAGTCGGATTGCATTGTCAGAAGCTTACCGGGACAGTGCCGCTTATAGAGGCTGAAAACTTCGCCAAAGCTGATAGTACCGTCTTTGAAGCACCAGTTACCCGTGTGTTTCTCGCTGTGGCCAAGATAGTCGATGGAAACTGTAAGGGAAAAAGCAAATGTCAAACTCGGCAAAAAATAACGTGATTTTGGTTCTTACCTACTGGGTTGCATGACGTTTTGAAGAAATTTGCAGATTTTTTCAAGGTAGTACGTCTTGGAACGCTGCAGTGAAGGACTATCGATGCATATGCTAACCAGGTCGATGTTTAGTGACTTTAGCTCATTGCTGGCAGTTGCCATTAGATCTGCAGCAGCTTCTTTGTGGAGGCACGTCACATAGGGTGGAAGTCGACCGTGAATTTTGAAGGCTTTGTCTGCCAGAGCTGTGTTTCGAACTCTTTGCTCGATTTCGACGTCACTTGGGAACTGATCGCCAGCCGAAACTATGATCATGGCATTCATGGCATTTCCCGCGATATCACCTACATTTGCATCGTAGCAAAGACCCCTGGATTCAATGTAGGCGGTGCCTTGCGGAAGTTGGGGCTTCTCTCTTTTTGCTGCTCCTTTTGTCCTCTTAAGTGCTTCCAGGAGCTCTTTCTCCATTGCTTCAAGCCCTTTGATGGCAAATGGCTAGGGAGGGACATATATAGTACAGTGAAACATCTGGAAAACGGACCCCCCAAATAAAGGACACCTCTCTACATAAAGATGCTTGGTTCTGCCCCACATTATGCAGTGGATTAGACCCCGCCTGAATAAGGAACACTTCGATTTCCCCAAGGTGTCATATCGGTGGTTTTACGTATGTAGTGTGGTGCCAAAATTGAGCTGGACATACCTCCAAATCCTTCAGTTGTTTTCCAAGTGCCGAAACACGGCTTTCCAGCTCTAGTCTGGTTGCCGTGTGGCAGGGATCGTGGATGCTGGCACTTACCCCCTGAAGCCTGCGCAGGATATTCGAGGCAGAGGGTCGGCTGGAAGGGTCGTAACCCAAACACTCCTTGACGAGGCTTACAATGGTGTGAGATTTAGGGAGCATGCTTTCCAAGATTTTCATGTGCGCCCCACGTCGCTCGACTTCTGTGCGGCCCATGATTCTCCCTGTTTTAGGATCCTTGTAGGTTGCAGGGAGTAGTTGTGGAAAGTCCTGCGTGAGCGTGAAGAGGCTGAGGTGACCGAATGAGAATATATCCAGCGACGAGTTGCACCGGCATTCTGTGGTGCTTGTAGCTTCGGGAGGCATGTACACTAGGGTACCGGGCACTGTAGATGCCGTAACAATCTTATCGCTCTCAACAATGAGGGAGTTCCCCATGTCGGCTATCTTGGCCACCAGTGCAGAGTTGAGTAGCACGTTCCTTGCCGTTAGGTCCCGGTGGATGACGACCGGATTGTGCCCGTGGAGATACACCAATCCCCTGGCCACGTCTTGTAGAATAGAACATTTTTTCGTGAGAGGAATGTTGGGTGTGTTTTCAAGGAGGTCGTCTAGGCTTCCCTGGAGCATTTCCATGACAAGACAGGGAAGGTTATCTGTTGAGACAGACGACTGGGCTTCCAAATAACACACTCCCAGAAACTGGACAATGTTGGGGTGGCGGAGGCTAGAGAGAAGCTGACACTCCTTGTAGTACTTTTGCTTAATGCGCTCCGCCCCTTCATTCCTGGGGTCGACGAGCATGGGGAACATCCTCTTTCCCGCACACTCGAGTCCATCCATGCTCAGTACCTCCACACAACCGTAAGCCCCACTCCCAAGGCTTCTACCAGTTTGGGTCACTCCACATAGAACAAACTGCTCGAGTGATGATTGCACATGGCTTTTTGTAGAGCCTGTTGTGTGGGCAGCCATGTATCTGCACAAGCGTCTTAAAAATGATATTTACGGACCTGCATAAGGAAGAGGGGAAACCAATGACAGCCTATGTGAAGCCACTATAACTCACCAACTGAGGAACAAGTAGTAGTTGAGTTAGAGAACTGCCTAGTACAGTGATTAAAAGTGCTGATTTAGCAATAGTCATGTGATAGCTGTGGTCGTGAATAATAGTAGAGCTATAGTTTTCACAGTTAGCCAAGAGGATACGTTCTTGTATGTATGCTACTTGTATTCTCATGTCTATTAGCACCAAGGAGCATGCTATCAATAGCTACATTGCAAAACATTACTTCTCACAAGAATTTTAGGTGTGGTTATGTTTTCACTTGTCCTCAAACAGTCAATTATCTTGTAGTTTCACACGCAAAGACTTTGCCTTGTGCACATGTACATACAGTCAGTTTGTCATTATTTTAGCTAACCAGATAACTGCCTTCTCGCCGTTTTTTTTGATCGTAGCTAAGTCAATCTTAATAGTTGCAATGCCGAGAGGTTCATCCCTGCAGAGCTCACGCTATTCTGTCTCTGTGTTGCATTATATTAGTGTACATTATCAGTAACATTAACCTGCCAAAGGCCACTGTTCTGGGTATAATTATGGTTCAATTGTTGGGGGTTTATATGTACATACAAAGTAACATTTGGAATGTGCATAATTATGATAATTATACATGTCAAGCATTAGTCAAGGTTTGTGGTCTGTGCCATTGTGTAATACTTCAATAACACTAGGAATGTGAGTAGATCAGTTGCCAAGAAGTTGGTGACTATAAAAGACCAGTTGTACAGTCAGATTGCACAGTCTCATTATTGTGCTGCACTAGTGAAGAAAATGGAATGTCTCAAAATTATTCTGTTCCTTGGACTAGCTGCAACTGCTAAAGCATTACTGTTTTCATAGGCATCAATGTCTCAATTCCTTGCAACTGCATCAGGTAGCTAAAGCATTACTCTTTGCATAGGGCTAGTGTGGTAGGGAATGATCAACAGGTGTACTATTTTTTCTGTGAACTGTAGCCGCTGTTTGCACCAATACCATTGGTGTTGATGGAGGTCGAGGTCAGTCATGGGCATGTCTGGAAATAGGGAGTGGATGCATCACTGTTTACGTCTGCTATCCGGGGATTGCAGCAAATCCAACCATCACGTTTTGCGAGGGGCACAATAGTGATGGTACGTATAATTATAATAATACTATGCATCACCTCTCAGATACCCACAACTATTATTTATGTGCCAGTTTCATGGGTGCAGTTGCTGGCAACCAAGCTTCTTATTCTGGTCTCTTGCAGGCTCACAATGCCACACTGCGATTATTACACACATGGAAACTGAATCTGAAGGAGAATAAGATGAACAAAACTCTCTATCATAGCTCTGTATACATCTATGATGCTATGTCACTAAATACCATCCTCATCCCTGTATAATTATATATATAATACTACTGTAGCTACTACTGCAGCATTTTGCTGATAGCGAAAGATCTTTTGTGCAGAGCCCACAACCTCTACACCTGAAGCTCCAAGGTCTCTTTCAGAGTCTGATCGCCAGGCAGTTGTGGACCGTCACAACTACTTGAGGCAGAGAGTTGTCCCTTCAGCAGCTGACATGAAGAAAATGGTATTGATACATAGCGACGTGTTCTCCAACAGAATATAGGCTCATATATAGCACTGAACGAAGAATTTTTTGTGCAGAAAAATAGTAGAATGTTTCAGTCCAGAATGCTCCATATACACTGACTGTAAACTGACCACTTCACAGTTTACTAGAGCTGAGGAAGGCTCTACCGCTGTTCTATGTTTCCCCCCAAAGGTATCGTTGATCGCCCCCTTTGTTTGTCTGTTGATTTCCACAGAAATACGACCTGACACTGGAGAGATTTGCTCAGAACTATCTCGACAGCCTCTCCACCTGCCTGCCGCAACACAACCCCAACAACAGTAACTATGGAGAGAACGTAAATACATACCTCCCTCGGCCACGGAGCATGCGCAGCGGTTTTAGCTCCACGCGCGCTATATATATATAGAGCGCGATGTGGACCTGCGCATGCGTATAATACACGCGCGAAAGTCTCCGGTGGTTTGCAGTAGGTACTGTAAAAGAGTCCCAATGTTGGTGAGCAAAAACTTTCCAACGATATACAATGCATATATAATTATACAGATACCTACACTACGATAGTTCGCTCCAGAGGCAGACATCTAATCCACCAATGGTCCCCTGAGCAGGTTGAAAGGATGTTCTTCGTCTTCGGTATCGGTGAAGTAGTGAGTATACATCTTTTCCATGCTTTCACGTGTGACTTTTCCTTGTTTAGTCTCGTCCAAAGCATCAAATATTCGCTGCAAATGCTCCTCACTCACAAGCTTCCTCGTCATCCGCAGGTACTCGTCCTTGGTAACATAACCCTTCTTGGCCTTATCCAGTTGCTGCATGACCTTTTCTGTCGCCTTTCTCGTACGCTCTTTCAACGACGGCTGGTTAACCATAACCCACATGTTCTGGACGAACTGAGCTTCTGTGAGGTGATACCCTGCTGGCGGATCCATGCCACAGCAGAGATCTTCGATCCATACCTTGCGCGCATGCTCCTTTAGTTCTTCGGCATCCAGCGCAGGGTATGCCTCCAGTGTCTCTAGAGTTTTCTGCATTACCTCTTCCTTCGTGATGTAGCCTTTCGTTCCTGCGCTACTCCGAAACATCGTCTTCATTTTTCGGCACCAGTGCTTCGTAGGCTCCGTTGTTACTATCGTGTTTTCTGCCATGCTTGTCTTTCCACGTTCTTTCGTACTTTTTCACGCTCTTATCCTCCGACTTGGCCCCGTTGTTTATATAGCGCTGGGAGACCAACGCGCGCGCATCGACCATGATGCAACTCTCAGCCTCATGCTTGCATCATGTTGTATAACGTTGCATAATAGGTTCGTGTGTTTCATCGTGATGGGTGGGGCCATAATAGTCTCGTTCCCAGAACCCAGTTCACCACAAGGCACGCACGTCGCACATTGCAGCGCGGGGGCCGGCCCGGGACAGTGGGGAGGGGGCGTGGTAGCATTGACCGGGACAATTCTGGGTTCATCGTCGATTGACATTCTCCCTCTAATACCTGGAATACTGACTTGCTCTCATTGGTGGTGTCCAGACCATGCATAGGGGAGACGCGCTTCACCCGGCTACTTCAACTTCACTTCGTTCCGCCTCCGCCGCTGGCAGCCTCTCGGCTTTTGAACCCTGTATTACTCATCAAGATCTAGTAACTCCACAACATCGCTCTCCTCAACGTACTCTTCTGATCCAGAGTTGATCGATGCTCTGCACGCTCTCGATATGTGTAGCGGAGAAGATAATATAGCGGGGTCTGATGGAAGGACCCCGCCCTTCAGTTTTGATCTGTTTTTCCCTCTGGTTCCTCTTCCAGCTGAGCAGGGGGTGGATATTTCTACATCAACCACCTCACTGACTTCATCAGAATATTCTGGTCCTACAGTCAACAACGAGAATAGTAGCAGGGAAGGGACGACACTCTTTGATGACAAGACGGGTAATCGAGAAAACATGATGGCATCTTGTGGCTTGACCCCCCCTTTTTCTGACCTCTCTCTTTTCTTTTCCCAACTTACCCCTCTCCCTCATAACACTGGCTTGCCTGACACCACTACATTTCCAACTTCTTCTGATCTCGAAATGAATAGCGACCGAGAAACAGTGGAATCTGAGATGGGGTGTATATTATTTGACCTATTCCCTCTCACCCCTCTTCCTCAAAGCACTGAATTGCCATCACAAGGAGTGTCTACACCTGCACTCCCTTCATCAGGTCCTACAGTCAGCAATGAGAATAGCAGCAGGGAAAAGACGACAGCTGACATGGAATTTCTTATCAACCTATTCCCTCTCATCCCTTTCCCACTAAACGCTGAGTTGCAGTCACCAGAGGTGCCCCAGCCTATGTCGAAAGAGCGAAGGGCAGACATGATTCGTTCTAGCACACCCTCCGTTACTTCCGACCCGCTTCCTAGTGACCAAGCAACCATCGTGCCGGGAGAGATAAGCAGTCCCTCGCCACTGTCCAGTCACTCCTCCACACCCGAGAATGACGATACTATCTCAGTGATCAATCCAGATCCACCTGCCGTTCAAACAGAGAACCTTTGCATTCACTCTGCCTTAACAGAGACGTCCATAGCTAGATCTTTCTCACCGGTCCATCCCTCAGCTGACCATCTCGAGAAGTACGTAACGACAGAGGATTCTTCTACTCAGACAGGCTCTCAAATGGAGGCAGACTCAAATATCGAAGCTCAGAACTGTAATGAAAAGATAGAAAAACTGGAGAAAATTGTGAGTATAGTGACGACAGACAAACAGCAGCGCCAGAGAAGACTAAACAACGTTTCTGCCTTACACTACCGACGGAGGAGGAAGGGAAGGGAGAGCGACTTGGAACTGAGGATGAAAGAGCTTGGGGCCACAAACAAGAGACTCAAGGAAAAGGTTTCTGACCTGACAACTGAGATTCATAAGATGAGAAGATTGTCACAACAGAGCAAGACTCGGGAACCAACAAAAGTCTGTCGTTTCTTTCTTAACTCAACTTGTAGCATGTTGAACTAACCATCAATGACCTTGTGGTCACAGATCTGTCACTTTTAATCACTGCTCACTAATTTTGATGGTTCCCATGATATCGGGTGGGTGTTGTCAAGTTATTACAGGAGATAGCTGCACTATTGGTGGTGAACGTATATCAGTACAAAGGAGCATGTCCAATGGCCTAAGAGCACGAAATTCTTGAATCTATGTATGTAGAGTGATTTACATCCTAAAGAGGCGTGACATTCTACACTCGGAGTTTACTTAGGCCTGCAATAGGCTGTCCACAACCACTCCACTTGATGTTCAGTCCAGTTATAGGTGACAGTGCGGACAAAGACACAGTCAAGCATTCATAAAAAATAATTAACCCTCGCCTAAGATTCTGGAGCGGAGAATGCCGGGGAAGCTGGTGAAACGGACGGCTGCCGAGGTGAGTGTGCGTCAAATAGAGATCGCGAACCATCGTTGTACTTAGATGCTAGATGCTTTGCGCGTGTGGAGAAGATTTGCTGGTCTGGTATTGATGTACAGTTGAGTAGGATCGAGATTGCCGGTGAAGTGAGAGCAGCACACGCCCCAGTGAATCCGTTCAGTGAAGGAGTCACTGAGGTAGTGTAGGGTTGTCAAGACCAGTGCTTTTCACTTAGCTGTAGTACTGAACTGGTAGGGAACGCGCATGTGCCTAAAACTGACGTAGTGTAGCTAGTAGACATTGGCTGCTGAAATAAAGACTAAAGGGCGAGGGTTATGCACTTTTCATTATGTCTAGCACACATTTGACTAACTAGATTACAATAATGTGTCTCTGTGCATGCGTGCAGTCCAGCAGGAACTAGGCGAAATTCTAAAACACAAATGCTAGCACGAGAGAGGCAATAGCAAAGGGTAGTTTGGCGATAATATCTACTGCTGATGCTGTCGCGGACTCACTGCCACAGACTTCAACCGTCTCAACACCACACAGCGACCAGAGTTCGTAACTTGCAGCGGTGCAATCGTTAGCTCCCTTGATGCAGCTTTGCTCCACCTGGTCCAGAATGGAAAGAGCAGTTCTGTCAGCAGTATACGAAACGCAGATGCCTACCGTTCATTCGCCTACTAGTATTTACAACCCCCAGTTATAATATGCTGGATCCGCGTCTGGAGAATGTCAATCAACGATGAACCCAGAGCATAGCACCGGGTGTGCGTGCCGTGTGGTGAACTGGGTTCTGGGAACAAGACTATTATGGCCCCACCCATCACGATGAAACACACGAACATATTATACAACATGATGCAAGCATGAGGCTGAGAGTTGCATCATGGTCGATGCGCGCGCGTTTGTCAATATAAACAACGGGCGGCCGGGCTATGGACATTTTTTCGGAGGATAAGAGCGTGAAAAAGTACGAAAGAACGCGGAAATTAGCATGGCAGAAAGCACGGTAGTAACAACGGAGCCTACGAAGCACTGGTGCCGAAAAATGAAGACGATGTTTCGGAGTAGCGCAGGAACTAAAGGCTACATCACGAAGGAAGAGGTAATGCAGCACACTCTAGCGACACTGGAGGCGTACCCTGCGCTGGATGCCGAAGAACTAATGGAGCATGCGCGCAAGACTTGGATCGAAGATCTCAACTGTGGCATGGACCCGCCAGCAGGGTATCGCCTCACAGAAGATCAGTTCGTCCAGAACATGTGGGTTATGGTTAACCAGCCGTCGTTCAAAGAGCGTACGAGCAAGATGACAGAAAAGGTCATGCAGCAACTGGATAAGGCCAAGAAGGGTTATGTTACCAAGGACGAGTACCTGCGGATGACGAGGAAGCTTGTGAGTGAGGAGCATTTGAAGCGAATATTTGATGCATTGGACGAGACTAAACAAGGGAAAGTCACACGTGAAAGCATGGAAAAGATGTATATTCACTACTTCACCGATACCGAAGACGAAGAACATCCTTTCAACCTGATCAGGGGACCATTGGTGGATTAGATGTCTGCTTCTGGAGCGAACTATCGTAGTGTAGGTATCTGTATTCATTATCATGCAAAACTCTTCGACAGTAAATAACCCTCGGCGCGTATTGACTGTAACGCACCAACGTTGGAGTACCGTCCCAGTTTTAACCTCTCTTCCTCTTCACACTCTATACAGTGAGAGAGGAACTATTCCTATCCTCTGCCTGCCATGGTCTGACGGCAAACAGTGACGCTCTTGTTTCTCGGAAGGATACCAGAAAGAACCCGCTCTGTCACAGACTGGCAGATGACGTCATCTCTCTGATTTTGTGCCTAAAAACAACTTGTCAGTTCCGAGGCTCCTGCTGAAAAATGGAAAACAGAGAAAGGACTACCTCGAATCCTGTTGGCAAAGTGAGATTGCGGCAAATTCACAGCAAGAGCCTTCACCTACTGCTTCCCTACCTTCTCATCCAGACGCTCTTCAACCAGCAGTGCCTATGTCAGTCAGTGACGCAGTTCGTTTCTCCTCCGTGATGAAAGAGGTAAATATGCTCAGAAGTGACTTTGAAGGTCTAAAGAGAGAAGTTTCCTTTTTGAATCGCAATTACCTGTCACAATCTTCATCTCGACACATGCATGTTTCCCTAGTCCAATTTCTCCAGTGTTCTTAACCCTGTTGAAGTCAGTAGACTTTGGGCTGCCCAGTCATTCTCGTGACACCGATCAGCGCGAAGTCAATTAAAGTTAAGACCCCCAAAATTTCTCTTTGCTTCCCTGCAGTCTTCCGATCCTGTCACATTTAGTGTACGTCTGGAAAAGCCGACATCTCTAGAGTCTCAAGCCAGCTGATTGACGCCGCTCAATCCTCTATTCCACCTTCTAAACACCCTATGGCCCATTCCAAGAAGGTCTACGACGCTCATCTGTCTACTTTGTGTTGGCGTAGTCGTGTTGCTTTCCGTCAGTGTAAGGCTGCGGGTTCCCCCAGATCTGGCCCACTCTATGACGAAAGAAAGACCTGCAAGAAAAGGGTCAGAGTGTACCTTTCCCATTGCCAAGCACAACTACAACGCAGAGTCATTCAAAATCGTGATCAAGCTTTTCGTTCTCACCACCCTAAACGTTTTTAAAACGTCCTCTCAGAAATCTGGTGAAACCTCTCTCCTCATCAACGAGTCCTCCACCTCTGACCCTTCCTCTGTTCTACCCGTATGGGCTGACCATTTCTCAAACCTCGGCACTTCTCACCTCTCTACCAATCCCTCCCTTCAGGAAATCTCGAACACCATCCCAGAAGTAGAGATAGCAGCCCTGGTAGAAGAGGAAAGTATTCTCGACGTGTCCTTTCTGCCTGAAGAAGTTGATGCTGCACTCAACCGCCTCAAACGTAGCAGCTCTGCGGGTCCCGACTCTCTCCCCACAGAACCTCATTTATGCTGGCCCGCTTCTCAAGTCCTGGTTCGGCAAAGTTTTCGATGCTATTGTGAATTTAGAAGCAAGTTCCCTCTCAGTTCAAAACTGGCATCATCGTTCCCATTTACAAGGCAAGGGGAAGGACCCCCTCCTACCTGGAAGCTACAGAGGCATAACCCTTACCTCAGTTATTGCCAAAACTTTTGAACATCTTCTAGACATGCTTCCTGTTCTGAGTGATAACTGTACACCCCACCTGAATCAAACAGCATACCAGCATGGCGTTTCTAGTCCCGATGCAACGTTCTCCTGTCAAGAGACCATCTCAAAATTCATTAGTGATGGGGACTCTGTTTATTCATGTTTCTATGACCTCGCTTCTGCCTTCGATACGGTTGAGTACCCTGTTCTCCTCAGTCATCTAGAGAAAGCAGGAGTCTCCGGGGAGGCCTGGCGCCTTACCAAAGATTGGTCGCTACACTGACGTCACATCTTCAGTGAGAGTTGGCAGACAGGTTTCCCCTCTTTTTCTGTCAGTCGCGGGGTTCGTCAGGGCTCCGTCCTTTCACCCACACTCTTCCTGCTGGTTATGGACCCAATTCTCCTGGAGCTGAGTAAGAGATCCTGTGGCCCTTCTCTCTGTGGTCTCTATCTTGGGGCTTTCTCCCATGCGGACGATATTCGAACACTCTCCACCAACATTTCCGACTGCAAGCTACAGATGGCGCTCGTCAGGAAGTAGCTATGCCTCCTCTCAAGGCCTGGCTCTCAATGTCAGTAAATGTGAAGCTTCCATTTCTCCTTCTCTTCCAGCCGACTCCACCCACATCGGCACAGGAGACCTGCTGTTTCCTCTTTCCTCTTCTGTCAAATGCTTAGGAGCATGGTGGTCTCCCAGTCTATCGTGCACTAAGTGGGTTGAAGAAAACATCAAGAAGGCGAGACGCGCCTTCTTTGCAAGAGGCAGCGGGGTCTTCCTCGGTACTCTCAACCCCATTTCCTCCAAGAGTATCGTCGAACACTGTGTGTTACCATGCCTCAAGCTATACTGAGGTTTCTCTCCCTCCACACCCACTCAGACGGTACATGTCCTGCTCCTAACTGTTCTTTCTACATTGGTTCGAGTCTCCCTGTGGACACTTTCTGTCGACCCACACTAGTCTTGATATTTCATTAGATAATTTCATGTATGTCTGTACAAACTTTTCCGTTTCATTATTTTCTTATGGTCATGGTCTTCACTTGTTTTAAGAATGTCAATTAGTAACGATTAGGAAGTGTAACTTCCGTCATTCGTAGGAAGTCTAGCTTCCGCCGTGCGCGCCGATTCGTAGGAAGTCTGGCTTCGCGCGCGCAGTCAGCTAGTACGTAGTAGTAGAGCGCGCGCACGAGCGGCCTCAGTCGACTGCATGCAGGCGCGAGGCAAAATATGCGCGTGCGCATTCCTAGTATATACTAGTAGGCGAATGCATGGTATTTTGGCGAGCGGGAGCGAGCACACAATGACTCTATCTGCACGAGCCATCCTACAACTTGAACCTTAGAATCACGAAGATTGGAAGGTATCGAAGAGCGCAGCGAATGCCAGCAAATAGACGAGAGTTCTTTGGCTGGCTATATTTCGCATCGATATGACAGCTAGGGCAGCGTGTAAAAATTTGCGCGTTCCCTATCACGAAAGCGACGCCGATGCCTCCCGACGAAGGGCATCTTCCCCGGACTATTACACAGGCGGGCAGCATGTGAAATGTTGAAATCCTTTCGGATAAAAAGAAGCGCGTAATCCTGGAGCATGCGCAGTTTGACGATCCGCGCCTTTCGTATATTATACCATGACCATGTACCACTAGGTTAGCTCGCTCCCGCTCGCCAATAATACTTCAATAACACTAGGAATGTGAGTAAATCAGTTGCCAAGAAGTTGGTGACTATAAAAGACCAATTGTACAGTCAGATTGCACAGTCTCATTATTGTGCTGCAATAGTGAAGAAAATGGAATGTCTCAAAATTATTCTGTTCCTTGGACTAGCTGCAACTGCATCAGGTAGCTAGTAGCTAAAGCATTATTTATACTGTTTTCCTAGGCATCAAGTGTGGTAGGGAATGATCAACAGGTGTACTATTTTTTCTGTGAACTGTAGCCGCTGTTTGCACCAATACCATTGGTGTTGATGGAGGTCGAGGTCAGTCATGGGCATGTCTGGAAATAGGGAGTGGATGCATCACTTCTTACGTCCGCTATCCAGGGATTGCAACAAATCCAACCATCACGTTTTGCGAGGGGCACAATAGTGATGGTACGTATAATAATAATAATACTATGTATGCATCACCTCTCAGATACCCACAACTATTATTTATGTGCCAGTTTCATGGGTGCAGTTGCTGGCAACCAAGCTTCTTATTCTGGTCTCTTGCAGGCTCACAATGCCACACTGCGACTTCAAGCAATATCTGCAGCGACATACCTCTGTTGACGATTATAAAGATTCCCACACCAGATCTCAGAGGGACCCTGGAGTTCAGGGTCGGCTTTCGCAGTAGCCCACCAAAAGTTTGTTTTAGTGGACCTAAGGATGAATGTGGATCGTCTTTTCAACCTACTAGTACACCTGAAGGTATAATATAAGTGACACTCCCTTTTGTATGGTTATACCACAAATGCTGCGACAACTAATTTGTAGTGGTTTTGTATCAATTATTGCACACATGGAAATGTCACTAGTATGAATCTGAAGGAGAATAAGATGAACAAAACTCTCTATCATAGCTCTGTACACATCTATGATGCTATGTAAATACCATCCTCATCCCTGTATAATTATACTACTGTATATACTACTGCAGCATTATGCCTAAACATTTGCTGATAGTGAAAGATCTTTTGTGCAGAGCCCACAACCCCTACACCTGAAGCTCCAAGGTCTCTTTCAGAGTCTGATCGCCAGGCAGTTGTGGATCGTCACAACTACTTGAGGCAGAGAGTTGTCCCTTCAGCAGCTGACATGAAGGAAAATGGTATTGATACATAGCTATAAGAGAGATGTGTTCTCCAATAGAATATAGGCTCATAGCACTGAACGAAGAAACTTTTGTGCAGAAAAATAGTACAATGTTTCAGTCCAGAATGCTCCATATACACTGACTGTAAACTGACCACTTCACAGTTTACTAGAGCTGAGGAAGGCTCTACCGCTTTTCTATGTTTCCCTCCAAAGGTATCGTTGATCGCCCCCTTTGTTTCTCTGTTGATTTCCACAGAAATACGACCTGACACTGGAGAGATTTGCTCAGAACTATCTCGACAGCCTCTCCACCTGCCTGCCGCAACACAACCCCAACAACAGTAACTATGGAGAGAACGTATACCGCCAAACAACGAGCAAAAACTTTGCCAGCGATGTCAATTTCGAGCACATGGTGCAACTGTGGTACGATGAGGTGTCCTATTACAACTACTGGTTTAACAGTTGTCGCCTGCCAGAAGGTCTTTCTTGTGGCCATTTCACTCAGGTTAGATACACCGCTCCAACCTTCTGTGTATTTAATGGAGTTCTCCAGGTTGTATGGGCTAACACTGAAAGAGTTGGGTGTGGGGTGAAAATATGCGAAGACAGGAATGTGACACGTACACTGGTGGTGTGTAATTACGATCCAGCGTAAGTCGCTCATTAACCCGTGAAATAATTATACTCTTGTAGGTAGTTTCTTTAGCACACCATCAAAGTGAGCAAGTATTCAATCTGCTGCCTTCCCCACACAGAGGGAACATCAAACCAGACCGCAATTCCCCTACGTACAGACCGTATACATCAGGACTACCGTGCACTCGCTGTCCTTCTACTCACCCATCGTGCCAGAACAACTTCTGTGGTAAGTGAGACTCGCTAGCAGCATGTATCTGGTATTGCTCTATTAACCCGACCCACACACTGCTCTCCCACTGCTGAACATTCTGCATAATAGCCACATGCATGTAACATTGTGGGAGTATTGCTGTTTATTAGGACAACAAACATCACAAGTTGGAGTGTTTTAGATCTTTAAAGGGACAGCTTGTAACGATTTGGTCACAAACCCCCCATAGAACATTTTGTGGTCTGCATATACCCCACCCTATATACAAGAAATTTGGGTGTTAAAGCTACAGTAGTGGTGTATGTGGCTAATACTTGTCCACAGTTCAGAGTTCCGGTGCACAGGAGGTGAAACAGCAGTTGGCTGAGGATGTACTGAAGATTCTTCTCGGCTTGCACGGTGACAAGCCACAAGCTGGAGTCGAGGAATGGGAAATGGGATCCAATGGTAGCTAACTAGGTCCAAGTTCACAGCATTAAATTACTGTGACCCCTCAGAAAAAAGGACCCATGAATATATTCTTTAAAGGACACTTAGTTTTCCGATAAATGCAAATTCTGTGTCCAGCACTGTATACAGTATGTTATAATTGCCTCCAAATATGGGATATCTCTGAATGTTAAGGACACTTTCCATGTCCCTACGGTAGCTAATCCTTTACTTGGAGGTTTCACTGTATACAGAAGAAGAGGAGCCTGGAGAGTTAGCAGTGAGTGCTGTGAATGATGGTAGGGACCAAGATAGTGGTGCTGGAGGAGGTGATATTGAGTTCAAGATGACTCATGAAGAGGTGAAGGAGGGAAATGGATGGATCGACAAAGTCATCTAGCCGTCTTCTATTTCTGAGTATAATATATATACAACTGAGATGACAGTGATTTGTAGAGAGCAAGAGACTGTATTAGTTATTCAGTGCAAACCCCCTGCACAGCGCTTGCGCTCTAAAGCATTCGCATGCGCAAAAAATGCAAGGAGGCTGGGCCGCGGGACGCGGCGTATAACCCCAGTGCGCATGTGCAACGAGAGTAATATGCGCCGCTACGGTGTGCCACACAAAACTTGTGGGCATTACACACAGGTTTGAGACTGTAATCAACATTCTCTACAGTTTTAATGGTAAGTTTTCCAGGTTGTATGGGCCAATACTGAAGGAGTTGGGTGTGGAGTGAAAAGTTGTAGACAAGGGACACTGGTAATTTGTAATTACCACCCAACGTAAGTTGCGTTTGAATACTGTAAATAACGTACCATTAATTATTCAACGTCTGTGGTAAAATTGCTTAAGGTTGTGGACGTCAATGCGCGATGTTGTGCGCATGCGATTATCTGGCACGTTCTCAGTCGAGTTACCTTACTCTTGTAGGTATACAGTATTTACACTTGATGTGTAGATCTGTCCCCTTCCCAACACAGAGGCAATATTGGAATAAAAGGCAGACCTTTACCAAGACCTTACACAGATGGACGACCATGCACTCGCTGTCCTTCTGCTTACAAATCATGCGAGAACAAACTCTGTGGTGCGTGTACTGAAGTGTGAACAGATACACACTGTCATTATTGCAACTCCCATAATAGCAGGCGCAGGTCTAATGGGTGGGTCATTTTCTCACACTGGTGTATTTAGTAATTTAAAGGGAGTTATACTAACATAAAATTCTTTCACTGGGCCACATTAGTCTTTAGTAACATAAGTACTGCCACATTCCCTTCAATCTTTGCCTGCAGTAAAGAACTCAAGAGTAGAGCAGGTCGACTACGATGAGATGGAAGCCAGGTTTCAATGGGAAATGGGACATCCTCGAGCCATTAGACCACCCAGTATCAAACCAGAGCACCTTAGAGATTTTGCAGTGAGTCCTGTGAACGACGGAGGCCAATATGGTGGTGCTGAAGGTGATGATATTGAGTCAGAGGATAATGGCTGGATCTACCAAGACTTCTAGTCAGGGCCGTTTATTCTGAATTGACCCTGAGACAGCATTGTTGTAGAGACTTAGATAACATTAGTTTCATGCTGATCTGAACTGACAATTATGTTAGCACACACTTTCTGTAAAATATATACGCACAATAGTGTGTCTATGTAGTGTTCATCATTCAATTCTTGATGCTAGAGTCATCGAAGTGGACATTGCGAAGAAAATCGGTGCAGCTACACTTTAACCTAAGCTAATGCATGTTTCGTACTTATAGGTGGCAGACAGCTAAAACCCAATCACTAATCTCGGCGTTCGCGCACTATGCATGCGCATGGAAGGAGTGCGCAATGTCGGCTTCAAAGCTGGGCTGGATACTTCTCCAAGTAACTAAGTGTTCACACGGTGCGTTAAAAGGTCAAACATTACTGCCAGAGAGACAGAAACGAGAGCTGTCATTATCTCTGAAGTCTGTGATGGAAAAATCTTATAGCTGAGGCAGATAGCCAATGCAGTTCTCAAAAATGTACTAATGTGTAAGCTACACTGATACTGACATTCGTGACTAGGCTAATGCGACAAAGCTTACGTACTTTCTCTGCGCTAGTGAATCCAATAAAAGTGACAAACACTGTCAAAAAACAAAGTGCTCGGCACACTATAAACCACTGCATTAAGTTGTTAGTTATACGGTAGTAGCTCTCGTGTACTCTGCAAGAGTATACAGATAATGGAAACTGAAGGTACAAGGAAAACCTCTCAGACAGGGAAGACCTCTCTACAAGCTACGCGTGTGTTATGCAATAATTACGTTTAGAGTGAGCTAGGTTCGAATTGACCAATCAGATTGCAAAGCCGAGGTTTACTAAATACATAGTATATACAACCTTGTGACAGA